CGGGCCCGCCGGCGTCGCCGACCTCGGGGGGCTTCTCGCCGCCGCCGGAGAAGACGGACGCGGCGTCGCCGGGGCGCTCGCGGCACCAGAAGCGCGTCGTGTGGTCGTTGGACGCGCTCACGAGCACGTGCCCGAGCGGGTGGAACGCGAGCGCCCACACGTTCGAGTCGTGCGCCTGCGAGAGCGTCGCGCGCGCGCCGGGCGGCGGCGCGAGCGCCTGTGCGGTGGTGTCGGTTGAGGAGGAGAGGTCCCAGTGCAGGATCGCGCCCTCGGAGCCGCCGGAGACGAGGAGCGGGTGCACCGGGTGCCAGGTGACGGCTGCGCGTGAGGGGCGGTCAGCGGCGGGGCGCGTGGGGCGAGAGGGGGAGACGGGCCCGACGTACAGCACACTTCCTTTTTGTGGCCCTTGAGCGTCCGGAACTCCTTCATGGCGCGGATGTCGAACACTCGCACGGTCTGGTCGCGCGACGCGCTGGCTACGAGGTTGCCATTTGGCGACCACGCGAGGGCCTGGACGGTGTTCTTGTGGTAGTGTCTGGCCTGTCCGGTTAGTGCTTCAAGTGCGGGGGTTTATCGTGAGCTTACAGCGTGGAAAGCACGGTCCCCGTTCGAGGGTCCCAGAATTTGATCATGTTGTCCTTGCTTCCAGACGCCAGAAGGCCCTTGGTTGGATGCCACTCGACGCACTTGACATCCCATCCGTGCCCTTACCCTGTCGTCAGATTCACGCGAATTGGTGTAAAACGCGGACATCTCACCCGTCAAAACACGTTCTTCTCGGCTTTCCTCGAATGACCATATCCTCACAGTAGAGTCGTCGCTGGCCGTGGCAAACCGCTGGTCATCAGGGCTGAAGCTCAGTCCGCGGATAGCTTCTCGGTGGCCCGCCCAGGCAGTTAGATTGTTCATGTTCGGTTGGAAGTATTTGATAATGCCACTTTGGTCAGCGGACACGAGATATGCGCCTGAATGTGAAAATCGCATCGTCCGCACAGCCGTATCGTGTGCTTGAAGGATAGTTTCGAAGTTGAAGGTAAGACCATTCCACAGTGTAAATTCACCACTGGTTGACCCGGTCAAGACTCGACGACCTTCTGGTGTCCACTGCAAATTATACACAGCTTAACGGTTCGTACTCTTTGGTGTCAACAGTAAAAAGGGCTTTTAGACGAACCGTGACACAATTCACCGGACACCGAATTTTGTTGGTCGACGTATGCACAAACTTAGTACACAAAGATGTTGAGGCATTGTCTGGATAGGCCTTTGGGGGCAAAAGCTGCGCACCGGTGCTCATTCAGTAAATAAATGTGATATATTGAATGATGTCGCCGCCGTACATCAATAATATACGGAGGAGCAGGCCTCAGGTATGGTACATAGGTGGAATGGGGTCGGGACTTCCGCAGCTGCCATGAAAGTGTGAGCTTCAATCATCAAAGCAATGAGACTCGGACCGTCGACCCACCAAAGCCCATCTGCCCATTGCGCCGCCATAGTCAACTGTTCGCCTTGGTCTGACCTTCTTCAGGGTCTTTCCGTCCATGAGTTGTCTAGCAATAGCCATTTCTTGATCCTGTGTCTTCTCGTCCACCGGAGGAGTGTTTGGCACGGAAAGGTTTTTCCTGGGAACCCATTCATTGGGGGCAGGGTACGAAGTAGACGCGAGATTCTGAGGAAGTAGCACAGGAAGTGATTCCAAGCTCTGCATGCTGGATGATTGCAGCGACGTTGAACTCACAGAACTTGACGGTGGCCACAGTAGTAAGTTCGCTCCAAGTTGTCGTATTACAGCTCGTTCCGGCGTATACGCGCCCGAAATCAGTCAGATGACCGATCCGGAGTTGTAATGGACGCGCTTACTTCAAGCTCGCCAGGCAAGTATGTCCTAGTCTGTTGAACTTGAACAAGTGCTAGTGACTCTGGCCCTATTTACTCTCGAGTCGAAGGCTTGACCAACTTCAACCTGCTAAATCTGTCAACTCAACTGCCTAGCTATAATCGTCAGTTCAAGTCATCTGAGCCATCCTAGCTCATTATGCGAACACTACAGCGTACGCGTCTCGAAGAGTGCTGTCGCAGTCATCGTGAGGAAAGGCTGTCAAGAACTAACATTGGCCCGGGGGTAGGCTCAGAAAACTCGGGCGGTGCGCTCACTCGCGGGCCCGAAAGGCATTCTTGAATGAGTATTGAAAATATTTCTTCCCGTTTGTAGTCGGGGCTATTGGCGTCTGCCGGCTTCTGGGTTGCCGCTCTCTCTGCGCATCGCCTCCATACTAGAGTCTAGTTGGCCGACCATGATTCCTTCCAAACGCTCTGGGCAAGACTCGCCGCCTTGAAGACCTAAAATTGAGATGCAAACGCCCTCTTCCATCTTTGCATCACTGACCCGGGTGCTCTTGTCAAACATCTGGATCATAAGGCTCGTCCTGCACGGGCATATTTCGCCAGGCCAAGGACGGGCCTCTGTCATGTGGTGGCGTTCAGTATACTTAGGGCGTGGGTAAGCCCTAGGAAGTGGAGACAGATCATTACGTATCGTTCATACCTGGTCTCGCGATCAAGAGCGCATTCATGAGTGCCCTGCTGTTCCTGGCCGACTTTGCTTCAACGTATGTGCTTTTCATGATCGTTTCTTTCAACGATGTTCATATACTATCTGAATACAAACCCTTCCAGCAGCGCGCGGTCCAACTCGCGATGCTGTCTTCTATATTCACACCGGGTTCATTGTCGGGGCCATACGGCCACTGTGCCCGTGATGGGATCCTCCAAGCCATCTCACGTCTCGAGTCTCGTCCACGTTCCGGTGAGCGTCTCCGTCCATCCGATGTACTCTGGATCAAACCAGTCGCCTTGCCTTGTGACTCTGGTCTAGACGAGAATGGCCTCCTGGGATGTGACCCCAGTCCAAGCGTCTTATCAGCTATATAAAAGCCCAGCTGTGAGAGTGTTTTCGTCAGTACACTCCAGTGCACACATTCCCATCTTCCCTCTTCTTCCACCACCATTGCAATGCGTTTCTCTATCATCGCTTCAGCTCTCGCTCTCTTTGTCCCTGCTGCCTTCGGCCAGACGACGGTCTCGGTCTCATACGATACGGTGTACGACAACTCCTCTCAATCTCTCAACACCGTCGCATGTTCAGACGGACCGAATGGCCTCGAGCGTTATGGCTATTCGACAATCGGCCAGCTCCCCGATTTTCCGTACGTCGGCGGAGCATATGTGGTTACCGGATGGGGTTCGGCGGAATGTGGGACATGCTGGCAGCTGGTGTATGACGGCAACACCATTAACGTGTTGGCGATCGACTACACCGCGACGGGCTTCAATATCGCTTTAGAGGCGATGAATGCGCTAACGGACAACCAGGCGACATTCCTCGGAAGGGTTGATGCTGTAGCAACCCAGGTGGATGCATCGGTGTGTGGATTATGATCGATGACACAAACTTGGTATGTTTCCGTGCGTAATTGTGCCGTAGAGATTTCTGAACGTCTGCTGGCACAGATTTTGGGACCATTGTCGCATTCACGAGACATTATCACGGACGTTGATTGATCTCTGTTTCGCATCGTGTCGTAGCGTGTCATTTGGACGTTCGTTGTAAACGCATGGACTACAAGTACATACGAACATGGACTATTTGTGAGACTGGGCTGTTTCCAACTTATGTTGTATTATTTGCCCAACCGCATGTCCGTTGGTAGGATTGAGCCTTACAAATGAGTGTTCAATCTTTTTTTCGACCTGCTTGCTTCACGGAACGTTATCTAATGCCCCGCATCATTCAGTTCTAGACCGAGCTCTAACCGAGCTCCAAGTGCGGTTCCGAAACTGCCGAAGACTCGGCAGTCTTGACACTTGCACATGCCGTGTCGATATGTGAGTCGCATCGCCGTGAGACCACAGATTACTTCAAAGACTTGAGTCAGCGATGCGTGGAGCGATGGTATCACGCTTCAAGGATGAGGCAGACAAGTTGCAGTAGATGAGTGGCGCACTTAGCGCAATCCTCTTGCCCGTGTATGGCTGTAAATTTATTAAAGATGCGAGTTAAGGCAGTTGGTGCTTGATCGTGATTATGAATTCCGCCCGCGACTCAAGGTGCTAGTGGCCTGTCGGGTCTCAGAGACCCACGTCAGGATCATTGAGCCATATGCGGCGTAGATGTGCTCAGCATACAATCTCTGTTCCTTCCCCCTGTAATCCCGAAATTCAAGTGCAGCAGATGCCCCTGCTTCTCAAGCTTCAAATAGTCTCCTCAAAAACCAATTAGAAAGGCGACCAGATGCCGTCCATATGCTCCACGGGCCGGCTCGTTCATTATGCATCCCGATTCCGCGATTCTGAACACAAAAAGTGATGTTGAAGGGCGCGGACCTGGCATGGACTTCAAACATCGCGGATATCGCGTGCGACAGGATCACTTAGCATATCAGATTGCATCGCACTCAACCCCGCTATACGTTTGACATCTTACTCGGGGTCTTTGGCTGCGCAATTGCCTGCTGAGTTCAGATGCAAGTTCTGGAGATTGACCACCTGGCGTTTACTTCTAGAATCATGGCAGAGTCGGGCCCAGCATCACGGCGGAAATAGGCCACCGACGCTTTACTGATTTCCGTCACCTGGGGCGGGTGGGTTGAGCACGCCTGCATTGAAGTAAGATTCCGCCGTCCTCGGGAGTCGTCTCTAGTATTACCCAGACAATCTGTGGCTGAAGTATAGACATACCCGTGCAGGAATTTCCCAATGATTTAGTGGGGCAACATGTAATTTCGGGCGGGCTCCACGGAGTCCAAGATGTATTGTTCATCGGGTATTGGGGTAAGCAAACCACGCGGAAGCCGGACCACGCCCCGGATCCAATATCGGCTTGTCCTCTTTTTGGGTGAACGCCATCCACGACGGCCTCGGCGCGCATCGGAGTGATCGCACGTCTCTCTAAGCTTTTTGTCAAATGCAGTCTCCGATGATCTGTGGAGAAGAGCCGACCAAGAAGATTTCTAAAGGCTAATTCAGACCTGGAAAACGAAACATGACTGTGGGAAGCGAGAGCAACATTACTTTTCCAACCGAACGGCGTCTCTTAAGTTTACGATCAGAGATGGGTATACTAGCACGTCAGCAGTATTGGGCGATAGCATCGTTACCGAAGTGGGTAGTGTTATTACTGGAAGATAAATATCCGCAAGCTCATGTCAGGTGCGTGGCACAGCCCTCCTGAAGTTTCAGCCCATTCAAAATATGCCGTGGAATCGGACATTCAAGGTTTTTTCTTAAAAAAGGTTCGAAGTCAGGTTCCATACACGTATAATTGTGTTGTATTGACCACAATGTCCTCCCGCGACTCTGTGGTCTCGTGTACCATCGGAGACAACAAATAGAAGGCTGGATTGACCACTTCCACGAGACTCCCGTCTCCAAAAATACATCGGCCGCTGAGTAGTCACTCAGAACAGTGATTTGACAGCCTCCTATCCAGGTGGCCTGCGCAACTGTCAGACGACTAGTCAGAGATGGGCCCTTGGGTTTTGAAATACCCGGGCCTCTTTCACCCGCGAAGGTACATCGACTCTGTCTTGCATCGGGCGATCGCAACGCGACCTTAATAGTAATAATGTGCTTCGTCAGTGTTTCGTCAAGATGCTTACTAGCTTATGTCCTAATTGGTACTGGCCAGTAAGAAATCGCAGCGAAGCAAGCCCCGCTTTCAATAACGGTACGATCGGGCTGCTTGGTAATGGTTGAGCAAAAATCGCGCCGTTCAGGTCTAGAGCAATTGGGGTATGCGGTGGCGGGGCGGAGAAGAAGAGCATACCCGCGACAGTCAGGGGGCAGCTGAAGATCAAGTGCCCGTCGGAGTTGACATCAAGAATAGCATATCAAGGGGTCACGGCCTCAGGCCGCTGGGAAAGAGGGTGGTCGGAACGCGGTCAGCCGAGATGAGCCGTTGGGTAGCCTCATGGCCGGCGCGAGCTATTCCAGATCTGCAGATTGCATCAGACGGGCGTGATTGGCACAGATCGCAATCTCAAGTCTGGCCGCTCCGCACGTGAATTTTGAACACCGCAGGCTGCCCGGTCTGGCTGCAATAACGGACGAGTGGCGTTGGCAAGAATCTCACCTCGGAAGGGCATTGTCGGCTCACGTCCGACGGCCTTGCCTTTCGTTAAAAGTTCAAAGCCCACCGAGCGTTTCAAGGCTGGCTGGCTATCGGTTACTCCTGTTCTTCATCTCCCTCCTCCCTCCACCATGTCTTCACACTATATACCCACCTGGTCAACTCAAGCTTGCACGAAGATTGGCTCAACACACCTGCATCCCCTCCACACCCAACCTGATTCCCCCATCCACACCCAACCTGATTCCCCCATCCACAACCAACATGATTCCCTCATCCACCTTCCGACCCAAGTCACTGCAAAGTCCACTCATCAAACCACTGCAGACAGGTCGCAAAGTCATATGCCACCCCGTCCGTCCATCTACACCAGCGCTACTTCTGAGCGGCGTGCTCTGCGAAATCGGGAACGGGATCCTGATTGGGTTCCACGGCCACCGAATGCGTTCATCATCTTCCGCGCCGAGTATTCGCGCAGGCATGCTCAAGCAAACAAGGGTGGAGAGTCTACAACAGAGAAGACATTGTCCAAACGCGCGGCCGAGGCGTGGAAAACCCTCACCGCCGAGCATAAACAGCCCTACAAGATACGGGCAGAGCTGGAGCGCCAGGAACACGCGAAGAAGCACCCCGATTACAGATACAAGCCGCGTCGACGAGCCGCAGACTTACAGAAGGGCCTTGGATCGATGACCCGTCGCGAGCAGGTAGAACTGTTCGTGGAGCGAACGATCAGTCGTACAAGCAGCCTCTCGGAGTGCGACGATGCTTCCTGCGACTATATGAGCCCGTCGAGCCCGACCAGCTTGACGTCTTCGTCGTCTCCGGAGCCGCCAGAGACACCCTTGCGAGACAGCAGCCCCGTGATCCCACTCCGCGACGAACCGCGATCGTCGTCCATGCCCCCCGCACACAACCTCCCTACGTACACCCACTACCATGATTCTTCAGTTTTGTCGCTGGAGCGCTGCGTATCAACGCCTAGTCTCGGTTCGAGTGCGTTTGCCACGGCGGACAGCAATGTGGATAATTCCATTGCCCTTTCTTCGTCGTTTATAGAAGCCGATAGCGTTCCTTGGGCTGCTGAATATCCGGATCCCAGTTGCAATATGTTAGCGGGTATACCAGACAGTTCAATTCCTTCGTCGTTTGCATTCCAGGTCGATAATGCGCAGGACAATTTGTCGTTTGAAACTTCCAGCGAGACAGTGAGTCGCACGACGCTCCCGTTGGAAGCGCGCTGACAAGTATCAGGCAGTAGAAGTTCCAGTGACATATGGCATCCACCCATCCATGTTAATGGCGCGCGCGTCGACCTCCGGCGGCTCGTGCCCACCATCAGGAAGCGGACCCTTGTCCCATCGTCGACGCCGAGCAGCGACCGCGTCAGGCACATTTCCGTCCCCTCTGACTGCCGTCACATCGTCCCTCGCAGGATGGAACGGCTCGATAGCCTCCGTTACCACAGCGAACCCAGATGTCTATCCAGAGACACCATGTTGTTCGCCCATCTCCGTACCAGGGTACACGGGCGACCCGAACGTAGCGCTGTGGCAGAACCAAGCGTCCAGTTCGAGCAGCCTAATTCCTCCCGTCGCCGAGTTTGACTTGGATCGCACGCCTCGATACGCGGACTTCCCGCAGAGCGTGCACGGCGCATATATGCTTCCTGGTGCACTCCCTCCGGCAGCGGGTACAGACCCCACTCTGAACCCCTATAATATGGGACAGATGCTGGGTGAGGGGACTTCAAGTGCTGGCGCATTGGACGGCACAGATGCGAACTATAAGGCGTACACACAGGGGTTACTGGATCTTGGCATCGAGCCGACGATGTACACCATGTCGCCATTCGAGGAGCTCGACCTCAGCGAATTTTTCGACTTTAACAACTGAATTACGAAAACTTAGCTTGTGCGAAACCCAGTTTATATGCGATACATACATTTTCACGGCTTGCGGTCGGACTTGCACGATTAGCGAAGGCAAGACGACCCTGCACCCCCATTCACCTATGCATGCAACGATGAAAATCACGAAATCACGGCCATGATGAAGTAGTGTATTTGTGTTATACTCACTTGATTTCATTGTATCTACTTGATAATTTCATGTGTTCATTTATACATAGAGCCTGAGGGCCGTTGGTATGCATCGCGGAGTGCACATTCTTGTGGGTCCATATTACGAGCATGGTAGGTGGTCGCTGCGATACAATCGTGTACACGGTGTGAATTTACGTCACGCCTACGGTGTGTCCTATGCGGTTATGCATCAATCAAAATGCGAATATGAGAGGGTATTGATGAACTTACGTAGCTGGCCAGAAGAGAGCGCCAACGCAGCGTGACAGTCCGGTTAGCGCGACCCTGCCGTGACTGTCACATGTCCCCCAATTCGGAACGCACGCGCATATTCACCATAATGTCTCCCCGTTACAATAAACTTTACAGGGCGCAAGTGATACTTGGCTCGGCTGAGGGTGATACCGGACGGCGTTGAGAGTGGTCGAGAATTGAGTGTGCAACTCGGAGTGGAATGTGCCATATAAAGCGAATTCTCCCACGGGGCGTCATTGCGGTCTGGCCTTGAGGCAGCCCGCCACCCACCTGGCTTCTACTACTCAGTGTCTTTCATGCACACGTTCAATCGACATTGCTCACGACTTGTATATCCTCATATCTGATTTTTTATGTCTCCTTTTCTATTTCCTGACGGATCAGGCTCTATTCCCTTTGTACGACGAGCAGGAGAAACAGCGGATGCGGTTCCCGCTTCACACACTCCCGTGGTGGGTCTGTTCGCTGATATCTCTTCCATATATTGTCTTCTAACCATGCACCAGCACATCAAATCTACGTCCGATGTACCAGAGATAGGAGGATCATCTGCTGGATTTATTGTCCTCGTTGTCTCCCTTTCTGCTCTCATCATCATATGTTGCATCGCCGTCTTCTTCCTTCTGCGAAACCACAACCCTACACCATATGAACGTGAAATGCGCCGTGCGCGGAGGCTGCATAGGCGACAGGAACGTTCGCTGTACGAGACACCCTCCGAGCATCCTAGCTTCGGTGGGAGGCTTGCACGATTGTTTGGACGGAGGAAATCCCAAGGTTGGACCAGGGCGCTCGGTGACGAGGACGATTGGGACGCTGCCGAAGAGCGGCAAGGGTGGAAGCGGGGTGAGTACGTCCGCAATCGTGAGTACGCAGCGCCGTACCGGCCTGCGGCCTCGCATACGCCACCGATAGACGGGCGGGAGACGAGTACCGACTTTGTGGAGCTCTCTGCGCCGAGTGCTACGGGAGACACTGTATCTTATGTGGATCCATTTTCGTCGTCGCCTACTTCCATGGAGGCGGAGGAGCAGAGGGAATCGCAAGTGAAGGGAGCAAAGGAGGGTGCGCAGTCTTCGGCTGAGGTGAAGGGGTCTGGGTCCCCCTCGCCGAGTGTCTTCCCCGTACGCAAGTTCAGAGGCGGATCGAAGTTCACAGAGGTGATAGACCCCTGAAGATTAAGTGCTCAATGCTTTGTCCTGGGGCTAGCGGCACGCGCTGCTTTGACTTCCAGTCTTCCATTCACTCTCACTCCAGTTAACGATCTACGGGACTTTGCTCAGCTCAACGGACCACTATATTACTCAGCGCGCTGTATTATTGCTCTTCTGTTCTACTAGTCACCTCATGCAGAGTACTCGTATGTATGCTAACATTCGTAGTCTGACCTGTATAGTACGATATATATCGATAGTGTTTTGGTGTCGCTCCGTCTCAACATTAGAGTTTCGGATAGCTTGCTATCACCGGTAACGTCCCCCATCATTTCTGCGCCTGCTCATATATATACGCGAGTTATGCATGGCAAGATGCTTCTCCACACCTCTCTCGCACGACCATGCCACTACGCCCACCGGCAGCCGCGGTCCGTCCCTAAGTCAATACCCCGCGTATAAAACTCCTGCCCATTCTTCGTGACGAGTTCATACCCATTGAGGGCACCTAGAAAAGAAACGACGAGCCTCGAAACTGCTCAGCGAGCTCCATGCACAGGGTAGTAGGGACGTCATCTTCGCAGCTGGAGAGACTGATGACGTCTACCGGGTGCGTTGGTTTTTCCGTATGATTACTGATCATGATCAGCACTCAGGCGGCGGGTGATGCAAAGAGCCTGGAAATTTCATTTGAGTTGTGCGGAACGAACCATTTAGTCCAGGCTCTTAGATTTTTTTATCCCAATCCCACTCACAGTTTTTTGTGCTAAGTTTTAAGCGTTGGTTCACCCACATTCGCGCGATGAATATAAAAGCCATGTTAGGGTCAAGGGGGCAAAAAACGAAGACCGTCTCAAAACGCTGTCTGAAGCGCCCACTCGTATGCGTCCAGCCAAACCTCGGAGCGTTCTCTTCCACTTGTTCATTCCTCTTCAGTCGGTATATAAATGCTGATTTCATCATCATCATCATCATCATCATCATCATTCCTCTTCGGTATACAACACGTGGACCAGCGCTTATAACAGCATAGAAAGCTGTGAGTGGAATTGAAATGAGACCTCCAGCGACGGATGCATATGGTTCTAGGAGCCTGGATCCGGTCTCGCGCATGGCACGCCGACGGGTGAACGAAAAATTCAGTAAGGAGATTACCAAGCTCTTCTGCGATGGGCCGATGCGCACGTATAAAGAGGCCATGATAACAGTCTGGGATGCTATCGTTCCCAGTGTTCGAATTTCTCCGTGAGTCTTTGTCCAAACCGCCATGTCTGAACTCGAATTCAAGGGATATGCTCTCACCGGTGAGCCGAAGCTGCCTATGTCACTGTCAGCGGTCGCACAGAGCTCACACACGGGTTCACCTGTCGTCTAGACCCGGCTGCTTGGAACGAGTTCAGCTTAGTCTCGTACCCGCCGAAGACATTCTTGGCTGACGATGTCGAGCTCGCAATTACACACTGCGGTATCTGTGGCTCGGACGTGCACACTCTTACCCAGGGTTGGGGTGGTCTCAGCCACCTCCCGCTTGTCGTCGGCCATGAAATTATCGGTATCGTGAAGCGTGTTGGCGCGAATGTGTCCGAATTCAAGCCTGGCGATCGGGTTGGTGTGGGTGCGCAGATTGCAAGCTGTATGGAATGCAAGCGATGCAAGTCAGGCAACGAAAACTACTGCATGAAGATGATCGACACCTACGTCAGTGCACTTGATCTTGTGCGGGTTCTGTTGTCTGAGACTGAAGTTGCACGTAGAATGACGTATACCCAGACGGTGTCATCACCCAGGGCGGCTACTCGACAGCAATTCGCGCGCACCAGCAGTTCGTCTTCCACATTCCCGAAGCTATCGCGTCGAAAGACGCCGCCACGATGCTATGCGCAGGTTTGACAGTCTTCTCCCCCCTGCTCAGGAACGATGCCGGGCCCGGGAAGAAAGTTGGTGTCATCGGTATCGGTGGGCTGGGCCACTACGCTGTCCTGTTTGCCAAAGCTCTCGGTGCGGAGGTGTATGCGTTCACCCACAGCCCCAGCAAGCTAGATGATGCGAAGAAGATGGGCGCCGACCATGTTATCAGCACACACGACGATGTAAGTGTTCGCTTGCCTATGCTGAGTATGCTATTCTCATCTCGCATTACCTCATTTCAGGACTTCTACAAAGCGTACGATGGCGAGCTGGACATTCTTATCTCGACCATCGATGTCTTCCGTCCCGATCGCCCGCTGAAGGTGTATCTCTCTATGCTGGGCGTGCACGGCAAGTTTATCAACGTCGGACTGCCGGATCACAACAACCCCCTGCCACCGATGCATGCCTTCGACTTGCAGCCGAATGGCGCGTTCATCGGTGGCTCACACATCGGCTCAAAGACGGAGTGCCTGGAGATGTTGAGGGTTGCGGCGGAGCGGGGTGTCAAGCCATGGATTGAGGAGCTGCCTATGAGCCAGGCGAAGGTCGCCATCGAGGCGGTGCGCTCGGGCAAGGTGCGATACCGGTATGTGCTGACGCAAGATATCGCGCCTGTCCAGTAGGGGCCTAGGTTTTACTGACAAGTGTCGTGTGCCAATGTATGTAGCTTAGGTGTTGTGTCAAATTGGTCTAAGAAGTTGTATCTGTAATCTCGTAAAGGTCCGATGTCAACGTGCCTGCCCTCATTTCTTGGGGCCGTGATGATCAATAATTATAGACATGCAATGCAGCCAGGTGTAAGCGTAACTCTCCAACGCGTGCATCCTAGCTCTTGGTCATTGGACTGGTCAGGTCACATCAAAATCAGGGGTCACCGTACATCGGACTTAGGCCGCGAAATTGAAAGCCGAACAACAATAGAGCGAATTTGATCTATCGAACAGCAAGCAGTGGGCGCCGCCTTTGCTCGGAACTTGGACTTCGACGTTGCAATCGCCACGAGATCTCTGTTGCGGTGGAGCAACCCATGACTATAGGATCCGAGCTTATCTCCTGCAGAATTCAGAAGACTGTAGATGAATGAAAAGCGAGGCTAGAGGGAACCACGCCGTGATCGATCATTGAAGGCCAACCAGGAGAGTTGCCCAATGCGGAGGAGGTATCTGCACCGTGATCGCTGCGGAGTGCCTACGATCCACCCTCATCTGATGAGAAACTGCCTCCCAATTGCGCTTTATTGCGGCAAAATTCCATGCTCGACAGGCAACTTCTCCTCCGCTTTCTCCATACAGCAACGTAAGTAAGGCAATAGAATGGGTTATCGCATCGCCTTGCAGCGCGTATCGCAGCGCAACCGCCCTTGTTCTGTCCGGAATCATCCTTGAGAACGGCCATCTCCATTTCGAGTCCTCTTTCTGCTCCAGACGTACTGCATTGGGCTCGCGTGATGTGCCCAGGTGTTGCCCATAGCCGTACGACACCACTGTATCATATCGATATCGTCTTGGGCTCCACGCCAAACGCCCCATGTCGGACCGCTGTGGCCCAACCATGGAACTGCTGACGCTAGGCACCGTGTTCCTATCTTCTGGTGAGCCTCGTTCATGTCCGTTTCGTGGACTGAAGATGTTGAAGCTGACCAGATACTCCGGGAACCACATCGGACCTCGCGAGTTCTCCTTTGAGTCGTGGTGCAGCTTCCGCGGGCAAAGGATCATTTCGCCGCGCGGGGAAGACGGGAAGACTTCATACCGGTCGGAGATGTCCAAGCGTCCGTTCAATTCTGATACGAGACCTCGAGGCTGGACATACTACCCGCCCTGCTTCTCGGATACCCTGGACTCAGGACTGCGGTGCTGTGGCACCTGGAGACCCATCTAGCGCCTCGTCTTAGGTCACGTGAAATGCCATTTTTGGCCTCGGTGGCGGGCGCATTCGCTCCCATCAGGCTTGATCAAGCTGAGGGCTTTTGGCTGTTCGCTCCAGGCGAGGAACGCAATCTCATTTACCGTCCAATCATACAACCCATGTGCCATCGGATAAGGTGCTTAGCGGCAAACTTCCCAAACCTACGTCTCACGTCGAAAAAGAATTGCAGCCTCAGCGGCTCCATTTAGAGACAGTTATAACGTCGCCTCCGCCGTCGAGTCCAGTGGTCGTCCCCTCACTCGCTCTGCCCACTACCACTAAGGGCTGCTCCTCATGGACGCTAGTCAGGCTGTTCTTGACACTCTCCCCCAGCTGCCAGACGAGGAAGTCGCAGGCACGCGCGCCGTAGTCTTTCCCGACGATCATGTCGACATCCGCGAAGAGAAAATTCAGCATGGGCATGCAAGACCCAGGGGTGTGGAAATGAAGCGCGAGATGACCAAGGAAGACAAGGAGCTCGCCGCCGCTGGCTACGAGCACCTTGAAGAGCACAAGATCAAGAAAGGCGGCAACGACAAGCTCGGCGACGTCGACATCCAAGAACACCATTTATCCTTCCAGGAATTGGGATCTGCTCTCGAGACCTCCCTCGACACCAAGGACCCAAGTAGTTCGTATGGTCTCTCCACTGACGAGGCGAAGAAGAGGCTGGCTCGCGATGGGCCCAACGTGCTCACGCCTCCCAAGAAAAAGTCGGCCCTCCGGATGGTGCCTTCTATTCGTTCTTTACTCCACTGGTCAACGATTAACCCCACTTCTCTAGTACATTGATCTGCTCTTGACTATGTTCAACATTCTTCTGATCATCGCCGGCATTCTCGAGTACATTCTCCTAGGGATTGACTTTAAGGTATTTCTCCGGCCCCCCCTACGCATAGGTGCGATACTCACTCGTTACGTATTCAAGGAAAACTTTGCCAACACGTACCTCGGCGGTATCCTCATTGCGGTCGCATTTCTCAATGCTTTCATCGAGTTCTTCCAATTGCAGAAGTCCGAGGCCATTCTTGCATCTTTCCTGGCAATGATCCCCCCCTCCTGCCATGTTGTGCGCGATGGTGCAATTACATCTGTACCAGCTGCGGAGCTCGTCAAAGGCGATATTGTCCTTCTCGTAAGTCGCCCGATCCGATTCGCCGGGTATCCCCTGGTGTCAATATAGTCTCGAGAATAACACTCACGTCATCGCTCACACAGCGCACCGGTGATAAAACACCCGCGGACTTGGTGATCTTCGCTGCGACCGATATGAAAGTGGATAACAGCAACCTCACAGGAGAGTCGGAGGCCCAGGAACGGATCAGTCTTCCCGACGGAAGCAGAGCGCGACCTGTAGAGGCGGAAAATCTGGTGAGTGTCACCGGTGACACTTTGTCGTAAGGTCGTGTGACGCTCATATCTTCCAGGTGTTCAACTCCACTCTCATTGTGAACGGTGAAGGATGGGGAGGTATGTATCAACTATACGAACTACTGTCCTTTTTGGGCTGATACGAAGCCATTTCAAGTCGTTGTCCGTACTGGGGACCATACGCTTATTGGTGCGTATTATTTATGGTCCTTTGACTACGCAGCTTATTCCTCCAATACATCAGGTCAAATTGCTGCTCTCACTGGAGGCGAATCCGGAAACAAGAGTCCATTGGCTACTGAGATGTGAGTTTTGCCTTCTGCGCAGCTATGACGAAACTGATTTACTTTAGTGCACGGTTTGTAATGATGGTTTCGGCCATTGCGATCATTTTCGCGGTTGTATTCTTCATCGTCGGCATCACCACTGCATACAAGGGCAAGGCCGCCCAAACTGTCACGTTCGCTGTATCCATCCTGGTGGCATTTGTTCCGGAGGGATTACCATCTGTGGTCACACTCCTGTAAGTGTCTTGCACATCCTTTTCTAACACGAGGATCGACGATCAAATGATGTCAGATTGTCGATCGCTGCGAAGCGCATGGCTGCGCAAAACGTGCTCGTGAAGGACTTGCAAGGCGTCGAGACTCTCGGTAGGTTGTTTGCAATCTGTGTCGTGTAATTGAGCTCACTGTTCGTCTGCAGGATCGGTACTTATTCTCAGTATTACTTGACAATTGTTACTGACATGTTTCTCAGCTTACTCTCTTGGCTACCGATAAGACAGGTACTCTTACGAGGAACCAGATGACGGTATGCCTTTGACACGCTCCTCTATAGTTCGTTGCTCATTTCGTGGACAAGGTGACGAACTTGTGGAGTGGAGAGAAGATGTACACTGCTTTCCAGGCATGTGTGGCATTCAGCAGTTTTTTCGCCGATCTAACTGTACTGCTTTGGGGGGTATAGTCGAACAATGATTCGGAGTCGACAGAAGCCTTCTCAATCAACGCTTCCGGAATGCAGGAAATGGTTGACATCGCAGCCTTGAACTCGCGAGTCAAGTTTGACAAGACAGACGTCCCTTTCGACCAAAGGACTATCTTGGGTGATGCTACTGAGACTGGCCTCACGAGATTCGCTGGTCGCCACATTGCGGACTATGATGCGTTGCACAAGAACCACCCAAAGGTATTCGAAATCCCCTTCAACTCGTCCAACAAGTGGGCTTTGGTTATCGTATGTATAACGCGCTATCGTGATGATTGTTTCCTGACGAATCATCTCTATAGCTCAACAAGCCTCACGCTATGGGAAGTCTCACCCTTTACATCAAGGGTGCGCCAGAGCGAGTTCTTGCCAAGTGCTCTACCTACCTAAAGGACGGTAACATCGAGCCCATCACTGACGATTTCAAGACAGCATACGATGAGGCATACAACGTACGCGTCTACTGTGATCCCCGCCTATTTTGTCTAAACCTCTTTCACAGTACATGGCATCAAGGGGTCACCGTGTTATCGCATGCGCCCAGATGCTTCTACCAGGCGACACCTACGATGCTTCATATCCGTTCAGCAAGAATGACGGCCAATACCCGAGCTCAGAGTTTTGCTTCTGTGGTTTAATCTCTCTCGAAGACCCGCCGAAACATGGTGTCCGTGAGGCGATCGGCACTCTTCGTCTTGCAGGTATCAAGGTCATGATGGTTACTGGTACGTGTTAGCATAGACAAGTCTGAGTCTGTAACTCAGTCTTGGACATGTAGGTGATCACCCGAAGACTGCGGAGGCAATTGCTCGCAAGATCAATCTGATCCTGGGTGATACTAAGGAGACGCTGAGTGCAAAGACCGGTCGACCCATCGAGGATATTTACGAGGACGAAGTTGATGCCGTTGTCGTTCATGGTGATGAAATCGACGGCCTCCAGGGCTGGCAATGGGATCAGAGTATGTTCAAGGGTCTGTGCCTTCTGCATCTTCGTTCTGACATGTCCATCAGTCTTCACCAAGAAGGAAATTGTCTTTGCACGTACATCGCCTCAACATAAGCTGGAAATTGGTAGGTTTATTGCAGCAAGGCCACGGATGATACTGACCACTAGCATAACAGTGAAGCATGCTCAGGCTCTTGGTCACATCGTTGGGGTGTAAGTAGCTTTGTTATGATAACAGAAGACGTGCAACTCACTAGACATTCAGTACTGGCGATGGTGTCAATGATTCTCCTGCTCTCAAGAAGGTGAAATTCTTCGCATTTCGTATTCCATAAAATTGCCTAACGTAATCACATGCAGGCTGATCTCGGTATTGCTATGAATATTTCTGGATCGGATGTGTCCAAGGAAGCTGCTAACATGATTTTGCTTGGTAAGTAGTCACCTACAAAACATTGACAGTATCTTATATCATATTCGTGCAGATGACAACTTCGCCTCCACCGTTAGTAAGTAGATGCTCGTTTCCTTCCGCTAAATGTTTGATGCTGATGAATGGTCCGCAGAGGGTGTTGCTGAGGGTCGCCAGATCTTTGTCAATCTCAAGCGTTCCATTCAGTACGCCTACAATAATCGCAAATTGTGCCATCCTGACGGTTTTTGTCGGCAGGTACACGATATCGCACAGTACTCCTGAAGTTATCCCTCAGTTGCTTTGTAAGTTTGAATGACTACGGATCTTCCGTGAATAATACGCCAACAACGGTTCATAGATGTCGTTGTGCCCATTCCCCTGCCACTATCAGCTATCTTAATCTTAGTCATCGGTGAGCATCAATATTTTAATCAGGTGAAGTTATTCTGGAATTCATATTGTCATAATATAGATCTTGGTTTCGAGCTCTTCGTTGCGGTGAGTTTTGCATGTGCAAATTCCTGGTAAGGATGATAATTGATCCGCTTTTTCATAGCTCTCATTCGCCTGGGATAAGCCGGAGACCAAGGATGGACTCATGCGCATGGCCCCACGGAAACCAGGTGAGTTCTCTCTTGGCATTTCTTCACGTTTCTTACTCACTACCGAACAGTCAATGAACGTTCGATCATATCCCTCAAGAAGCGCGCGCTCCGGCGTACGAAGACTTTGCATCGTGATACTGAGACACAAGAGATCATACCTCCGGGTCGGATAGAGGTGTGGTCTTCGAAGGTGAAGGCGCCGTTCACACGGACGTTCTGGGAAGATGCTTTGGAGCGGTCAGAGGCCGAATCGCTTGTCGACGGAAAGCTCCTCAGCTATTCGTATCTCGAAGCTGGAGTTATCGAGATGCTTGGAGCGTATGTCACTCTCACATGCTCATGCACGTTCCGATTCTGATCCCTCTGTAGCCTCGTTGCATACTTCGTAGTATTCTACAAGAATGGATTCTCTCCCTCCGATTTGCGCCTCGCGCAGTCTTCGTCGACGAGTACGTTTCTCGTGTCGTTTTTTCTCTTACGTTATTGATATCTTTCAAAGCTTACTTCACCACCTCAAGTCCGGACTTCGTGAACAGCAGAGGTCAAGTGATCGATGCTTCCCAGCAGGTTGAAGGCCTGGCGAAGGCACAATCTATAGTATACCTTTCGATCTTTATCATCCAATGTTTCAATGTGAGAGAATCGTCGTTACGGCCCCTGCTGATGTTCTGATGACCTATTTTTGTTAGGTCTTTGCTGTCAAGGCGAAATTCTCTTTCCCCTTCGGCCGGTCAATCATTGGAAACTACTACAACTTCGCAGGAATCCTTGGTGGTGCATGTCTCGGCATCTTTATCATATATACCCCGCCCTTGCACGTTGTCTTTGGTGGCTCATATCATTTGTCGCCGCTTTACTGGCTCATCCCCGCAGCCTTCGGTGTTTTACTCCTGGGATGGGCAAGTCTGCGCGTTCTGTTGCTCAGGAAAGGCATCGAGCAATCCAGGGTGAAGGACATCAAGGGCTTGATGATGTGTAAGTGTCACTATTAGTGCCTATCTGTTCATTTGCTAACCTTGGTATGTTCACAGTCCCCACCATGAGGACAATGAGTATGCGTTCAAAACACTAAAGTCTGGGCGCCCGAACGCCTGCTGTTACGTCGACGTCTTTTACCCCTGATGTATACCATGACCTGACGAACATTGTAACTCAATATGCCACGACTGTGAGACGTATAACAGTAGTACTTCTAATAAAATTTGTCATGAAAGTCTTGCAACTGGCGGACAAGCAAGGTGGCCTGTGATCGGCAGCATTTGACACCATTACGTGTTTGCATGGCGATTCCGTCAGAAAGCGAACCTGTGGATACGTGGAATGACAACCTTATGTCCTAATCACCCTGAGACTACGGATGTAGGGTTACGAGATTGCGCCTGTCCATGATGCGCGCAAATCAAAAGACTTGCCATACGCCTGGACAGCAAACAATTTAGGACATCGCGGATCTCCCCTCAGCCAACGGAGATTGAGAGCAAAGCATGGTCATTTCGCCGGGCAGTGCTTGAGAAAAAAATCGGCCACTATTTTCCACAGCCAGCATCATTACAATCATGCATCGTGGACGTTATCCGAAGCTATCCTGCTGTTCTTAGATAGTAAACACAAAGCAAAACAATCTATCAAAAGCAGGGTCGGGTGTTCATGAGACGTGACGCATTTACACGGAGTGAACGGATTCCTATATTCGAGATCCAATCCGGCTGCAGGGATATCTTAAGCCAGTCAAGATTCCAAGGTTACAGTATACCAACATGATAACCGTCCAAATCATTAACAAATACGATGTGTCAGACTGGACAGGGTCGGATTACACATAGATTAGTACCGATAGACAGGTGACGAGAGCAGAGAAGCACGGAAACGAGAAATAGTGGAGGAAAGTGCCATTACCGGCTCTCGCGACAACACGAGGAGTCCAGAGGCCACAGACAATACCACCGCCGCAGCCATTATGGCGGGCGGTCTTGCGCTCCCCC